TACCATTCGCTTTCTGCATCAGACCGCTAAACTGAGTTGAGATTGAAAATTTGGTTGTGTCTACCCTCGAATGGATCGCCTTTTGTTGCCTCCTCAGGAGGGGGAGAAGAAGGGAAAGGAGGCAAACCATCGCTACTTCGGTTCACAAAAGCACTGTTCGGGATATCCTTGTAAACAAAGTAAATTATGTTTATGAAATTAATGTTCATGGATTACGCAATAAGGAGCATTTAGAGGCCCAGTCTAGCTACAAAAACTAGTGAAATAACAGAAGGAATTAAAGGCTAGTTATATCGTTAACATTTCTTCATAACGACTTAGGCATTTTAAGGGATATTTGCGGAGAACAAGTGAGTTCTTCAAAGTAAAAACAGCAAAACTTGTACTCAACTAGGGGTTGGTAGTTTAATTAGGCAGCGTTTATTGCTAAAATTATATTAATACCTATTATTACGGGAGCAGTGTGAACCCCAAAAAGGTGTTCTCAAATTGGCATTCTTGCACTTCTGAAGCCTAACAAAGGAACTGTGGTGAAGATAAGGCCATTGTGCCCACGTGACCTCAAAGTTGTACACAATGTTAGGGTTAGCAATGCATAAAGTGCGTTTCAATCCATCGGAGGGCAGAAATCTACGAAAATACAGCTCTCATGCACCATCGCCACCTGACAAGAGACCGAATTTGATGTAGTATGTTTGATAAACGAACAGAAAATCACGTACCAGCTCATCCCTTAGTTTCGAGAAAGAACCGCCTGGATTTCTGCTATTGTACCTGCGGTGAATGACTTGGCTTTTGAACCATACTAGTAACTACCAGAGCCCTTTTCAAGGCTCAAGATACTATTAATATACACGAACATGGCGTTAGAAAATTCAGAGACTATGATCATTTACTTCTTAATTTTCAAACTTCTTTCAAGTGTTTCAACAAGAAGATCACTTCAAATGATTAATAACTTCCTTCCCATGATTAACTATTCAACAATTTTTTTTCAACCGATATGGAGTTGGACCACCCTCAAATTGCAGAATTCGATCTTAGCTCGAGCATACACTCCACCAGTGCACCATTAGTCATAGCGGCGGAGCAGCGACTTGTCATGTGATTTTGAGTGGCGTTTTCACTATTCAACACAAGAAATCTGACAATCCAGACTTTGCTACTCGTTTCCTTTAATGGTGGAAAAGCAGCTAAATTTAATGCATTCCTCAACGAAAAGATAGTCAGTTACTCGGAGGGACACACTAGAACCCTACTTCTGTAGAATTTCTAATTGGTTTAATTGACACTCAAGCTTGTTACGACTTATTGACAACATTCCCCCTTATCAACACGTTAAAAGTGATAGGAGAGTAAGTCAACCGCTAAGGTATGACAATGCACACGCTCAACACCAAAGTACAATAGAGTAGAGCGGTTCCAACAATAGTGCTCCAGCACTCTGCTAAAGCTCCCCTGCCATTAGGTATCTTGATAACCTTTTAATTACATTTCTGACACCCAAACGCAGCTAGCAAATTTCCCCACAACCGCCATAAATCTGCTCGAAGACGCGGCTCGCCAGCGCGAACACCAACGAATACGAAGACTGCATGTTCCTGTAACATCAACTCATTTTACTTTGTACCCACGCGAATAGAGGCACCCCGCCCTGTGCAATCGACCCAGTTATCTCCTACCGTAACAAAACCATGCTCGGGAGTACGCCACTCCTCCCACTTTTAAACCCCATAAAGCAATCCATCAGCTGTGGCCTAAATGCAGCAAGCGAATAATAGTTCCTCCCCAACTACGCGCACCGTCCACCTATTCTAAGGATCTTAAGCAAAAAATGACCTTAGACCATGACACGAAAAGTGGAAAAGACGAATAATGGATTTAAATCGTCTCCTTGATCTTTTTAGGTAACAGAGACAGAAAAACGTTTTAGATACTATGCCTCTTGGCAAATAAACTGAAATCAACGAACCAAGCATATTGCCAAAAGGTTTAATCATTGCGAGGTTGATAAATGATCGGTTGGACGGGCTTCGGCGCCTTGGAAACCCGCGGAAGTGGTTTCTGTTGGCTATGAAAAACACTCTGGTCGTGGAAATCCAACTCCTTCCGAGTTTCAAAATCGTGCTTTGGTGGAACTATTATTCTAAAGAAGTATCACCTATGACGAACGCAAAAGTTACTCCGAGTTGTATTCTTGTGCTTGTTTCATATACTCAGACTTTGACAGCGGTTTTTCACCAGTATCTCTATGTTTCTGGACGATACGCATGTTACCAACCTTAGCTTTAAGAAAATTGTTGCAAAAGATTTTGAACATACTTGCAGGTGGATTTGATATGGCCAAATCCGCATCCTCCTCTCGATCACCCATGATGGAGCACCGACAATTTCAAAATATGGGCTAACAGAAACGCACATGATTGGCCCTTTGCAACAAACCCCTTCACTTGACAGAACAAACGAAGCTGGAAAGAAGTCAAGAAGAATTTCTCTAGAAGGCCAAGAAAATGATTAAGTTTTCAAAAAATTGTCTACTACTGATAAAGAAACCTTTAAAAGTTTATAGGGATGCAAATTACGTGTATGTTGTATGTTTCTGGACGGTCGATTGTGCCGAGTTAAAGGGGCTCTTGTATTTCATCCGTAGTCTAGCATCAATAATTATCGGTATACTGGTTTATGTTGTTCTATTCCTTAATTGAGTTTTCCTCCACGCACCTCATTTGCCTTTATGCGAGACATGCCTCAGCAAGTAGCTAGTGAGTTACGTCGTATGCCTCCTTTTTAAATAGTTTTACCATCCCAGGACCCTTACAATGGTCGTCAAGTTGGCGTTTATCCAGGTAAAGGTGCCCTATAGTTTCTATGCCACTAATATGTCCTTGCTTTTATGATTCTCACTTGATACTCTCTTTAACCCTAAATATTTAGATCTCAAAACTGACTCTGTGATAGGCTAATACCTGCTATAGAGTTGTTTTTAACT